TTGCTACTAAATATCTATACCATCCATATATGCATTTTTCAAGACACTTACAAAATTCCTTATTTAAGAAAAAAATTCCTTATTTGTATTTGCTTATGACATAAAAAGTAAGTCAATAGTTACATACTGGGAAGAGGAGAAGGTGGTGGCAGAATCCAGGCAGATGATGAACAAGGACAGAGAGACCTTTTCACTGTGTACTTTTTTTTTTAACCAAACCTGAGAATACGGTTTTTTCTGTGTGTGTTTTTAAAAATATTTATTTATTTAATATATTTTTATTGCTTTCAGAGAGGAAGGGAGAGGAAGAAAGAAACAGAAACAATGATGAGAGAGAATCATTGATCAGCTGCCTCCTGCACGTCCCCCACTGGGGATTGAGCCCACAACTGGGTATGTGCCCTGAACGGAATCGAACTGTGATCTCCTGGTTCACAGGTCAGGCTATTTGTTTTTTTTAATTGATTTTAGAGAGAGAAGGGAGAGAGGGAGACAGAGAGAGAGAGAGGGAGAGAAACATAAATCAGTTGCCTCTCATACACACCCCGACTGGGAATCAAACCCACAATCTAAGTATGCGCCCTGACTGTGAATTGAACCCCCACCTCTTGGTGTATAGGATGATGCTCTAACTAAGCCTCTGTGTACCTTTTTATACTTTTTGACTTCTAAACTGTGTGGATATATTACTTATTCAAAAATTTAAAATCAGAAAAACAAAACATTTCCTACCCATCTAGGTAGATTTACCTGTGTGTGTTTCCACATTCTTTAGCATGGGGTTCTGTTTGCCTCGTGGGAAAGATGCAACTTGAGGATCCTGCCTCCTTATAGCACATTTCTCCAGGTCAATCCTTCTGGAAGACTTGTTAACAACTGCCAAGTTCCCATTGCTGCAGACAGATTTTGCTGGTCGTTCATTAAGATTATCCTTCGGAATGGGGGCCATGCTGTTCCTGGGCCCTCCACTTGTATGTCGTTGACCCTCCTGTTTTGGTGGATTCCTGCCTGGACGTGGCCTCGCCCCCTCCACTTCCCAGGGAGGCCTTTTCTGTGAGTGTCTTCTCTGTTCATTGCGTCTGGCCCCAGACCCATCCAGTACTCCTTTTCTACAGGATGCATCTGAAGAGTCAGGGTGGATAACCCCCACAGGTTTGATATTTTCAGATCCGGCATCCTCAGGTTTGGGTGTCACTCTGTTACCCCACTCACATTTGAGTTTCCCCTTGACTTTTGGTCCTCTACCATAGCTATACACAAACTGGGCTGCTTTTTTTGGTTTTGCTCCCCTGGGATCTGCACCAACAATTTCCTTCTCACTTTCAGAAGGGCTGTGCTCTCTGAGCTTTGTCCCACTCTCTGATCTGGCCACACTTTCTAAGCCAGATACATCTGAGGTCTGGTCAGCTACACTTTGTACTCTCTTGACTTTGATATGCTGCTTTTCACTCCTCAATTTCTGTACAGGTTGATTCTGAAGATTCTTGAGTGATTTATTAGAAGCAGAGGATTGGAAAGAAAGCTGTTGACTCTTAGGTTTGCTTCCTGAAGGATGGTAACTGTACTGATGAACAGCAGAGATGTCATCATAAGGGATTTGCCTGGAAAGGTGACACGGAGGTGGTGAACTGTAATTTCTTCTACCAATCCTATTAGAATCTAGTCTTCTTTGACTCCCACAGTGTAGACCAGATTTTTTCCTCTCCTGAGGAATGAACTCAGAAGCATCCGTATTGAATTTAAAAGTACCTAGGACACAAGAAACAGACATGCCAGGAAATTAATCAGTTAACCATGAAGCCCATCAGACCGTAAGCCATATCTAAAAGTTATTTTCCTAAGGACTTTGTATAAAATGGGCTCTTAGTAAAACATGTTTCCTTTGAAGGTGTTGGGTTCAAGGTGTTGTGGAAGACTGATCATTGCATGTCCAGTAGCTTCACCAATAGCCAGCGCTGAGAGTTGCTAAGTAAAACTGCTCACCTGGGCCATCAGGCATTATTTATACATGCATTTACTTTAACAAAAAATTTAAAGTCAGCAAATAGTTCAGAGATGAGACAACAGTCAGCAGGTTCCACGTCGTCTTTCGAAACTTTAATGCAGCATTGTGCAATATCAAGTAAACAGGCTTAGCAACCAGCCAAATCAGTTTGACGTCTGGCCCTCCAACTTATGCTACAAGCTGAGGTATATATCACTTGATTGCTTTTTGCCTAGTGTCCTCATCCATGACAAAAGATGATAATACTATTTTAAAGGGTTATTGTGAAATTTAAAAATGATTTCACATAGATAGTACTTAGCATAGTAAGTACATTAGTTCTCATCTCTTCCCCCCAGGAATATATATTAGCTGTTCCATACATAACCTTTATAATATAGTCCAGAATCCCAGAGTCTCAAAAATTAAACATATGCCCTATTCATTTATTCCCCCCAAATGCTTCTTTGTATAGTCAACTTAGTCTCATTTTATCTGGAGCACAAAGATAAAATGATTTGCCTCAGGATACAAAACTAGTTAGTAGCCAAGTGAGAACTATATGTAGCATATAGAATATACTATGAATTTATAGGGCCAAAGAGACATGGGCTTACTTATTGTCTTTTGGAAGTTATATAGCCCCCGTTTTCTTATATGTAATGGAGATAATAATAATTCCTACATCAAAGAGTTGCTATGAAAAGTAAAGCAAATTAGTAACATGTATAAAGTGGTTAAAATGGTGCTTTATTATAGCTGTTAGGATTACAGACTATCTGAGACACACAGACCCAACCACAGATGGGAGCAGTTCACCGCCTGGGGGCTTTGGGTTTAATAATAATCGGGTTAGGTACTTTGTTAGGTACTTAACAGGTGTCAGGCACTATTTTAAGCACTTTGCATGTGTTAGCTCATTTAATCCTCCCTCGCATTCCTGACAAGAAAACTGCTACACAGAAAGAGTAAGTAACTTGCCCAAGGCTACAAGGGTTTTCTAAAGTGAATTTAGAATTCCACCCCAGGCTATATGGTTCTGGAGACCATGCTCTTTCACTATCATCATACTACACTGTGAGAGGTTGGGCAGCTGGTACCATAGAAATATACACAAAAGAAGTGAACGAGATCATAAAGGTCATAGGGTAACCTCTCATTCAATCCAGAATTTGTTTTGAAAGCTTTCATATAGGCAGAATTCTTGGGATGGGGTGGAGGGCCTTACAAAATGGCAAAAGACTTAGACAAATTCAGAAACTGGCAGAGAAGGTGGGAATGGATAGATTAGACCAAGTGGGTATTGTGCAGTCCTTTCCTGCTTGAAGAAGTAAGGTCGGAGAGAGAGGCAGAAAAAGGGTCAGTAAATAACTGGTAAAAGATGGGAAGAGGGTGTTTCATGTTCAGCAGTAGGGAGTTGATGCAACTAGAGATTCTAGACAGGGCAGTACCTACTCATATACAGAATACGCTCCACTAGACATGATCCCGTAGGCCAGGGGGCCTCAAACTACAGCCCGCAGCCACATGCAAATACAAATACTGTATTTGTTCCCGTTTTGTTTTTTTACTTCAAAATAAGATATGTGCAGTGTGCATAGGAATTTGTTCATAGTTTTTTTTTTTTAAACTATAGTCCGGCCCTCCAACGGTCTGAGGGACAGTGAACTGGACCCCTGTTTAAAAAGTTTGAGGACCCCTGCCGTAGGCAAAGCCCTCAGAAAGAGCCTTAAGAGACATAAGGAAAAAAGGGCACATGAACCAGGAAACTGGACCTGAGACTCAGACAGATCTGAAACACCCTTTCCCCCAACACTATTTTAAGGAGCTGGAAGTCACTCAGTAAATGTTATGTCTCATACCAAGGCATTGCTGTGGTGCAAGTGGTACCCTAGGTCCAAGATTACATGGCAGCACCGTAGGTGTCCACGGGTGGGTGGAGCAGAGTAAACTGGAGATTATAAAGTCCAGAGACAAAGCTGGCATAGGAGTCCGCACATGGGCAGAAAGACAGCCCCCAGGACTGGGCTGCTGTTTGAGGACAGAGGCAGGCAGGCAGGAAAGAGAACGAAACCTTGAGTGGGGATGGAGGTGTGGGTTAGAGATCATGCTGAAATAAGAACACTGGAATAGAAACTAAGGCAAAAGCAAGCTCTGGCCAGTAAGAGGGAGTGGGGAGACCTTTGGAGTATGGACTTTGTCTCTCAGTAGATGGGGCGTTGGAGGTTGTAACCTGGGGCACAACACTGTTGGCCGAAACTATGACTCACAACTAGTCCCATCCAATTCTTCTCCAAACACTGAAATGCACACGGGAAGTGAGCCTGAGATCATTGGGTCCATTTTAGAGGAGGTGGGAAAAGAATGGGTGACGGAGTAACAAAGGCCAGCATGGAAGGTTCCTACCCACCAAGATGACATAATACCCAAATCAGGAATGGGGTACACCAATGCAGGGTGTTCTCCAACTCTCTGGCCAAGATCCACAGTAATAAATACATTTTATCTGCCATCCAGTACACAAATACATCTATATTCTTCTTAGTACCCTAACAGCTGGTAGACAGCAGAACTAAGACTCAAATCAACGACAGTTTACAAATTTCATGTTGCAAATTGCTGCCCTGTTTTTCAGAAAGAGTGGGGCCTGAAACCAAGTCAATGTAGTGGGTTGCGACAATTCTTCAAAAGAAATAGAAAATCGTGTACTGAGAAAGTAAGGAAAACCACTGCCTCCCGAAATTTTTGTTTCTCTTGTATATTTATGTATGTGTGCACTGAGGTCTCGAAGTTTAATGTTTCTTCTCGGTTACTGTCTGAGAGTTTGCAAAACAAAGATCTAAGGTGCACTCTGAAGAAAATGGAAATAGATGGTACATTAATAGCCAAATGAGGCTGTCTCTATACACAGAGGTTAACTCCGGGAGAGGAAGTGAGCTAACAACTATGGAGCAGGTACAGTACAGGGCGGGATCCCTCCCAGGAATTAACTTAATTACTCCCAACTGACGGGTGAAGAAGACTCAGGCACACCGCGAGTTCGTGGAGGCCGAGATGGGAAACCACAGGTGTTCGGCGCGCGCCCCCGCCGCTGCCCCGGGACGCGCGGATACACCTAACGCACAGCGTGCAAAGCCACTAGGCGTCGAGGGCCCGCCAGTCACTGACGCCCGCTTCTCGGAGATCAGTGCAGCCGCTGCCCGGGGAGGTACGGGACACCCATATCGCCGCGCTGGGACAAACCCGCTCTCCCTGGATACCCAGAGGCCGGGTTTCACGACGTAGTCGAGGATGGTCGAGGTCTCCGTCAGCACGACGCGCGCGCGGCTTGGCCCTTCCGAGCCACTATCCCCAACCCTAGTAGGCGCCATTCTCGCGATATGAATGGCCGAAGCCGTAGGACCCGACCCTGACCAAACCTTCGCAACTAGAGAAGGGCCCACTCCCACACGGGCCAGAGCAGTACCTGAGACAGGAGGAGCCTCCGCCATCCCGTGCGTGCCGCAACACCTACAGCGAGCTCTGCAGCCCAGCAAGCGCTGTCACCCGGTCACGTGCCCTGAACTTCCGGCGCCGAGAGAACGTTCGCCTCAGCGCGCCTGGTAGACGGGCCACAGAGTTTGCGCGGCCCGAGTTCACTGTGTGGTGCATCCCTGACGTCAGACAGTTGCGCCACGCTCGGGGCGGAAGGAGGAGACAAAGTGACTATAGCTTGCAATATGGGCGTGGGGCGTGGGCGTGGGCACTTGCGTAATCATCGTTTTCGTTTTAAGATTCACTGTGCTCACCTGCTACTATGCCCCTTGCTCTCCCACCCATCCAATTTCCCTTGGTCTTCTGAAGTCAGCTCGGACATAATCTAGAGTAGTTTACGTTAAAGAACACACAAAACTGCCCAGATGGCCTGGCTCGGTGGTGGAGCGTGGACTCACGGTTCCATGTTCGCTTGGGTTGCCCGGATTATGGGCTGAATTCCCTGTGTGCGGCGTGCAGGAAGCAGCCGATCAACGATTCTCTCTTATTGATGTTTTTATTTCTCCCTCTCCTTTCCTCTCGTAAGTCAATACAAAAAATATATATATAATAAAACAAAATTAAGTGGTCAAAAGGCAATCTTGGGACAAACGATCTGCAAAACAACGGGTAATATACAAAAAGCTCTTACAAATCAGAAAACGATAAACCACATGTTGGAAATGGTGAACGCGGGCGAGGGGATTGGGGGGATAGATGACAACACATAGGAGAGATACAACATGAAGGGGAAGTTTGGAGGCGCTGATAGTTTTTAAAGTATAAAATATAAAAACAAGTGAATGTGTGGAGTGTTTGTTTTGTTGTTGCATTACAGAATAGAACACAATATTTAAGTGTGAAGCATCTACATTTGTAAAGTAATTCACTGGCCCAGGCTTTCATGAGAATGGGAAATGGATTCATACATTCACACACATTTTAATGCGTACTCTGTCTCAGTCAGGCCTCACTTAAAGTGCTAGAGGTAAATGATGAGAAAATATAAACATGGTTCCTGCCATCATTAACACTAGATTGCCCAAGGAAGTCATTTTGACTGCTTGGGAAATTAGTACTCTTGTTATTGAAATTGAGTAAATTTCTTATATGACCAGTTCGGCTGTGTATTGAAATAACAGTTTTCATTTTTTTTCGATTACCATCACATGATAACATACAAGTACATGATAAATTGTCGATACTGGATAAGTTGCAGTTGCTCAATAAGCTAAAATAGTACTTGTTATTCGAATCTTTATGCAGTGATACTCGTTCTAATAAGTTATTTCTTTTGCGCCCTAAATTCATGAAAGAAATGTCAAATAGAAGTGAGTTATTGGAAAAGCTAAGGAACATAAGTGAGGAGTGCTCCAATATTATTCTTTCACAATGCAGTCATTTTGACTGCTTTTGGGCAATATAGGTATATACTAAATTTCGGTCTAGTGTTAAAAGCAATGTAGGGGAGATAGCCCTGACCGGTTTGGCTCAGTGGATGGAGCGTCAGCCTGTGGACTCAAGGGTCCCGGGTTCGATTCTGGTCAAAAGCATGGACCTTGGTTGCGGGCACATCTCCAGTAGGGATTGTGTAGGAGGCAGCTGATCAATGTTTCCAACTCTCTATCCCTCTCCCTTCCTCTCTGTAAAAAATCAATAAAATGCAAAAAAAATAGGGGAGATAAATGTAAATTTTTGGCTTTACAGTTGTGAGCACACAAAACATAGTTGATTCTTGTATTATTATTTATTAATAATAATTATTTGCCTACCCCTGTATTTAATCATCCAAATATCTGGAAGATAATGAAAAAAAACATTGTTGTTACCCAAACAAACCTAGTATACAGCTTATGAATGCAATACTAAAAACCCTATATTCTTTCTACCTCCGTCTTCTAATTCACTGATTGGATCCTCAGCTTCCCTTAATCTGCTGTGTATTCCTTCCAGTGTGTTCTTTATTTGTGCTCAGTCATCCTTTATTTCTGTTTTCATAGTTACTATATCTTTTCTCATGCTGTTGAGCATCTTTACCATCATTACTCTGAACTGTGTTTCAGATAAATTTATATCTATTTCATATCTCTTCTTCTGGAGAATTCTCTTGCTCTTTCATTTGGAGGTTGTTTCTTTGTCTCCTCATTTTGGCTGCCTGCTTGGGTTTGTGACTATGTATTAGGTAGATCTGCTACGCCTCTCAACCTCTAGTGTGGGACAGTGTCAAATGCTGTTTCTCTAAAAAGTAAATTTTAATGTGATTCAGCGACTTCTTATTCTTGGGTCAACCACTGAACCACACTGGCCGGGCAAAAACTAAGTAGTTTATATTTACAAATTAACATTTGTAAAATAACTACAAATTATATTGTTGTTATGAAAGAAACTAACAGAGTAACAGTAATAAAGACTTACTAGGATCTGTTTCAGAAAAATGTGGCCAGTGCTGGTCGGGTAGCTCAGTTATTGGAGTGTCATCCTGATATACCAGGACTGCAGATTCCATCTCCAGTCAGGCACATACAAGATTCAACCAATGAATGCATAAATAAGTGGAACAACAGAAAGTAATGTTTCCCTCTCCCTCTTAAAATCAATAAATAGAGAGAGAGAGCCGAGGCCGGTTTGGCTCGGTGGATAGAGCGTCGGCCTGCGGATTGAAGGGTCCCGGGTTCGATTCCGGTCTGGGGCATGTACCTGGGTTGCGGGCACGTCCCCAGTGGGGGGATGTGCAAGGAGGCAGCTGATTGATGTTTCTGACTCTCTATCTCTCTCCCTTCCCCTCTGTAAAAAATCAATAAAATATATTTAAAAAAAGAATTAAAAAAAAAGGCATATTTGAACTCCCTTTCAAAGGTTCAGAACCAGTAAAATTATGTTTCTGCTCTTGGTTTCCACTTCCTTAAGATATACTCCGTACAAATAGAGGAGAGA